CTCGAGCGCGCCGCTGCGGCGGGGATCCTCCTGGTCCTCCAGCCCGCACGCTGCTCTTCTCGACCAGGCTCCTCCTGCTCCACCCTCCTCCTGCCCCTCCTCCACCCACTTCCTCACCCTCCTCCCCCTCCGCCCCCTCCTCCTCCTCCTCCTCCTCCTCCTCCATTCTCCTCCATCCTCCTCGTCCTCCTCCTCCTCTTCCTCCTCCTCCTCCTCCTCCTTCTCCACCCTCCTCCGCAAAACCGCCCTACTCTTCTCGATCCTCTTTTTCCTCCTCCATCCTAATCGCCTCCAAGGAAGTCCAATGTCTTGATCATCGCGGAACCATAGATACGGGCTCCCTAAACATTATGACACTTGGCCAGCTTTGCATCCAGAGTAGTTCTTGGACGGTCCCAGGGCCCAGCGAAGGCCCAGAGAGGGAGGAAACGGCGAAACAACGCCGTCTTGCTGTTCCAATAAGTTGGATATCAGTGTCCTCCGCTTGCTCCTCCTCATCCTATTCATCCTCCCCCACCCTCCTCCTCCGCATCTTGCTGGTAGCTCTTATGCCGTGCTCTGGGGACTTGTTGCTGGCAGTCTGTGCTTATGATCAGCGTGTGTGTGTGTGTGTGTGTGTGTGTGTGAGCGTGGCTATGTTGCTCACGATGCTAAGTCATGGGCGACGACGTATGGACGCATGCGGTATGGCGAGGAGTGGGGATACCAGTGTGACACAATCTTACGCCAGGGACTGATAATATGATGCTGACAGCTTCAGTACAAGCAATGGTGGTGTTCTGCTTGCAGTGATACGTCTTTGCTGGCAATTCCAATCCAGGGGGCGGTCGCTCTTTACACGAAACTGCACCAGAGGGCACATGATACTTCGCAGGCAGCTGTAAGCAACAGGCGCGGAGGACTCCTGGCTCGTGGTTTGGGACCAATGTGCGTGGGCCTTGTGATGTCAACTTTAAGCCAGAGGTTTTGCTATGTGGACACAAGTCCAATGCCAAGAAATGGAGATAATGGGGTAGCACATTTAGACATCAGGGGCTGAGGATGTGCTGCTGGAGGTTTTAGTCCAGTGAGCGGGGGTAGCTTGCAACTTCAGGTCAAGGGACGACGGCACGTCCCTTGCAGTTTTCAGCCAGGGTGTGTTGATGTTAGTTGCTTTCAAATGTAAGGAGGTGATATCCGTGGTTGGTAGTGAGGATATCTAGACGGCCGTCTTGGGCCGAGCATTAAGTCTCTGTTTTGAATTTCAGGCCACGGGGTGAATCTAATCGACGGATGTTTTCGGCCGAGGGGTGAGGACATATTTGTCGCAGTCTAGGTGGCAGATGCCGAGAAAGACAGATGCGGAAGGAGTGGGTTTCCGGCCCAACTCTGTGTTTGGCCTGAGCCTCCTGGCCCCATGCCACAGTGAGCGGTTGCAGGTGCTCGCAAGAGGTCTAGACCCATCTTGTGTTCAGTGCAAATTAGACTTCACGAGGTCGCCCATTGTCAGTCCTCGCCGGTTTGACCCAGCCGAGGGCCACGCATCGAGCGAGGTGCTGCGCCCGTACGCATGTCTTCGCGTGGGATTGCCCGAGCCGAGGGTCAAACATCAAGCGCGATGCTGCTCCCGTACAGAAATGTTTAGGTATATGTCTACCTATGCGACCACCCTTCGGGTGATAAGGAGGTTCGGGGGGGGAACCAAAGTCTCACTCGATCGGTCTCACTATCGGTCTCACTATCGATCTCACTATCGGTCACGCTCGATCGATCTCACTCGATCGATCTCACAATCGTTCTCACTCGATCTATTTCATTCGGTCGATCTCACAACGATCTCACAATCCATATGACAATCGATCTCACAATCGATCTCACTATCGATCTCACAGTATATCTCACATTCGGTCTCACGATCGATCTCACTATCGATACCACAATCGATATCACAATTTACGTCATTACCATCATCATCTACATTATCGTCATCAACGTCATCAACAGAATCAATATAATCATAACCATCGGGGCACCATCATCATCATCACCTCCTCACCACAATCATCAACATAATCATCATCACCATCATCATCATCATCATCATCTGGACAACATCATCGTCACCATCGATATCAACATCAGCATCATCGGGACACCATCATCATCATCATCATCATCATCATCATCATCAGAACACCACAATCATCATGATACCATCACCATGATCATGCACAACATCATCAACGTCATCGTCATCGGGTCACCATCATCGTCATCAGCAACATCGTCATCATCAACATCATCATCGGGACACCATCACGATCGTCACCATCATGGTCGTCACCATCATCACGATCATCAGCATCGAGGTACCACCATCAGTTTCAACATCAGCATCACCATCATGGGGCCGCCATCGCCAAAATCATCATCATCATCCCCTCATCATCACCCTAATCATCAACATCATCATCACAATCGGGACACCATCATAGTCATCATCATTATCAGCAGCATCATCATCATCATCGGGGCACCATCCTCATCATCACCATGATCAGCAGCATCATCAAACTCATCAGCATCGTCATCATCGGGACACCATAATCACCATCGTCACCATCATCTTGTTATCATATCATCATCGGCTTTGTCATCAGGGTCATCAACATCATCATCATCATCATCATCATCATCGGGACTCCATCATCATCATCAGCAACATCATCATCATCAGCATCATCATCGGGACACCATCATCATCACCACCATGGCCATCATCATCGTCATCATCGCCATCGGAACACCATCATTGCCACCATCATCATCATCATCATCATCAACATCAGCATCATCGGGACACCCTCAGCATCATCATCATTACCATCGAAACACCACCATCATCATCATCATCCCATCAGCATCATCATGCACAACATCATCAGCACCATCATCGGGGCAACATCATCATCAGCAACATCATCATCATCAACATCATCATCATCATCGGGACACCATCATCATCGGGACACCATCATCATCAGCACCATCATCATCATCGCCATCATCGGGACACCATCATCCTCATCGCCACCAGCATCATCATCATCATCATCGGGCCACCACCATCAAAATCGTCATCACCACCTTATCATCATCCTCAGCATCAACATAATCACCACCATCGGGGCAGCATCATCGTCATCACCATCATCATCACCAACATCATCATCGGAACAACACCACCAAAATAATCAACAGCATCATCAACAATCTCATCATCATCATCATCATCACCGAGGCACCATCATCATCATCATATTCATCATCATCACCCCATCATCTCATCATCACCAGCATCACCAGGATCATCAACATCAGCATCACCAGCATCTGGGCACCAGCATAATCAGCAACATCAGCATCATCAACATCATCATCGGGACACCATCATCATCACCACCATGGCCATCATCATCATCATCATCATCAACATCGCCATCACCATCACCATCATCATTATCATTATTGGGATGTTGACTGGACACCTGCGGGACACCGCGCGCCACCAGGCCCCGGACAGGAAACACTTGGTCTGGCCGCGCCTCAGCCAGAGGCGGGACACTTCTCGTCCGCCCACGCAGCTTCGCCTCGCCCGCACGCACGGCACGCACGGCACGCACGCACGAAACCGATTTCCCGCTAGGGGGGCTGATCTCAACCCCTCACATCCGATGTTTGAGTGTGCGTATGTATGTATGTATGTATGTATGTGTATGTATGTGTATGTGTGAATGTATGTGTGTTTGTGTACATGTGTGTACGTGTGTATGTCTGTATGTGTGTATGTGTGTGTATGTAAATGTATGTAGGCATGCATGCACGTACGTATGCATACATGTGTGTATGTGTGTATGTCTGTGTGTCTTTTTATGTGCAGTATACGCATAGCTGCGAATCGATCTACAACTCTATACTACATTGGTATATATGTATATGTTTATGTACCTTGGCGTGGGATCTGTCTAGGACCAGGGGGTGAGCTGCCATATTGTTTTGGGAACGTCTGGCTCCAATTTCCCAGGTCGCGGGCACCTTAGGCGACACGCCTGGGCCACGCTGCCAACAACCCTGGCGGTGCGAGGAGGAGGAGGGAGCAGGAGGAGGAGGCTTTTTAACTATACTTAGCTCGTTGCAAGTTAGCTTGAGCGCAGCGGCCAACAGGACTGGCACAGGCTGCACACGAGAAGCCCGAGAGCATGGACGCTGAGCTGCTTCCGCTCTCGTCCCGAAAACTGTCAGGAGAGAGGTATTGGCGCTGAGGGAGGGGAGGAGAGGAATCATAACGAAAGAGGAGGAGATTGCAGCGCCGTGCGAAGAGAGACATCAGCGGCACCCTGCTTCGTTGCCCATAGAAGGGAAGCCCTCGATGCAGAGAGCAGTGCGAGGCAGGAAAAAGAAAAGACCTGCCTGGGAGTGCCTTCCGAATTTCGGACTGCTATTGAGAGGGAAGAGCTGGACGGAGGGCCAAAATGGCCTGGCCGCACTGCGGCTGTCCAAACCTCCAGGGGAGGAGATCTGGACTGAAGGAGGAGCAAGGGATGTCATAAGAGGCGGGAGAGGAAGAAGGGCCGGAATGGCATGGCCTTGTTGCAGGGCGTACGCTGCAGCTGAGAGGCCTGTACGGGCCGACCGCGGCGGGGAGGTGGGTGCGCCTGGGCGCTAGCCGAGACCAGACAGCAGAGACCCACCTCCGTGTGGCCCCTCACAGGCACACAGGGACCAAGGGGACCCTGCTACACCTGGACGAGGGCCAGAGAGACAAGCCAAGGCCAGTGCCGCGTTCCTCCCACGAGGCACATATGTTTGCCGCGGCCTTGCCTCAGCCGCACAGCCAAGACGCACTGGGGCATGGTGCCTGTCTGCATATATGGCACCTTCGCTGGCCGCCTTAGCCGAGAGTTACTCGGCGTGGCTGTGCTGTAGCATCGTCTACTGGCTAGGACTGTCTAGGTAGTGAG